TCTTTCTTTCTTTCTTTCTTTCTTTCTTTCCCGTCCTCCCCATAGCATATCGGGATGGTCTGTAAATCCAGTATTCTGAGTCCTTTGCCCCACACTACTCGATCCTGCCCCCCATCACCCGTCCCACCCCAGAGCTCTCACCCCCCTTGTCTCCTCTCTTACAGCCTGGCTGCAGATGATCCCCCGGCTGGTGTGGTCGGATTCATCCCCTGGTCTGTGCACGAGGGTCTGTGCGTGTTGTTGGAAGGGGAGACTGGCTGGCTCAGGGGATGGGAAATGGGCACGGGGCCTTTCCCCTCTAGGGGCGCTGGCTCCCATAGGGCCCCTGGGGTGGGGAACTGGCTGGGGTGATGGGGGGTGGGGGGATGGGCTGATGATGCCTCTTGTTCCTTCCCCCACTTCCTGTTTCTCACTGGAGCTGTCTGCTCTCACCACAGACCTTGCGTGGGCTGCTCCCAGCCTGGGGAGGGTCTCATCTGGACTGTCTCTTTCCCTCTTTCCCACCCCATTCTGTCCATCTACCCCAGAGCTGCCCCCCGCCCCTCAGCTCTCTCTGGCTCCACATCACCCCATGTATGTCCCCGGGGAGTGGGTGACCCTCAGGTGCTCGGCTCCCCAGGGTGAGGGGGTGGCCAGGTACAGATTCTACAGGCACCCACGGGGGCTGATCGCTGACGGGGTCCCTGAGCCGACTGGGGGCACCCGGCTGGAGCTCAGGGCTGAGACGGGGACGGCCGGGCTGTACGTCTGTGTGTACTGGACACTGCGCGCCGGGCGAGAGGTGCCATCCGGGGAGAGCCGGCCCGTCGCTGTGTCCCTGACAGGTGAGTTTGGTCTGGTCTCTGACACTCCTCCCCCTGCACTGCCACACACCCTCTGCCTGCCCCCCTGTACCCTGTCCCCCTGCCCCTTGCACCCTATCCATTGGTGCCCCTGTACCCTGCACCCCATACCCCTGCCCCTTTCACCCCATCCCCCAAGCCCCTGCACAGCACACCCTGGAGTGGCTGGTGGGAACCGTCCCCCGTTAAGACCCACTGAGCCCCAGCACGGCCAGGTCTGGGGGGGAAGGTGACCCCATTGGGCTTCTGGGGGCTGGCCAGAGCTCAGCTGGAAGTCTGGCTCTGGTTCTGGGCGCCGTGCTGGGAGATGTCGGACCCCGGCTGGAACAGGGGCAGGAAAGGGCTTGGGAGGCACCCAGGGGTACGGTGAGCCGGTCCCACCAGAGGGGACTTGGGGAGCTGGGCTGGTTCACTCCAATCGCCGCCGAGCGGGGTCTGATGGCGCCTGCTCCCATTCAGGGAGGGGCTTGGGAGGGGCCCAGCAATGGAGGCCAAGGGAGGCAGGAGAACAAAGGGACGAGCCAGGCTGGGCTCGCTGGAGGCTGGTGATGGGGAGAAGGTTTCTGACCATGGGGGTGGGATGCCCTGGCCACCCTCTGGCGGGAGCTGGGGGAGGGGGGGAGCAAAGGCTCAACCATCCCCAGCTCCCCCCTGGGCAGCTCCAGAGCGTCGCCTGGGGACTCCGTGACACTCCGGGCTAGTCAAAGTTCTGCAGCGGCTGCTGCCTGGGGCGCGGGATCCCCTGGTGTCCTGAGAGAGGGACATCGTGGGCCAGGTACAATAGCCTGCAACGACACTTCGGGGGCACCACCAGCTGCCTCCTGGTTCCCCACAGTTCTGCTTCCCCTTGGGGAGCCCATTCCTGGTACAGGAATCCCTTCTCCCGTGGGACTCTGTCCCGGCAGCCTTCCCCAAGGGCAGTGGTCCCCAACCTTTTTCGTCTGACGAGCCCCGGAGGACCGTGGCGGTGGACGAGCATCCGCCAAAATGCCGCCGACAAGCAGCGTCATCCAGAGGCGTCGTCGCCGAAATGCCACCGATTTTCGGCGGCGACGCCTGTGGATGACGCTGCTTGTCGGCGGCATTTCGGCGGATGCTCGTCTGCCGGCCA